CACGTCACATGTGATCAGGGTTGAATAATCTTAGAGTGCTGGATTTGGCCATACTGCACAGCTCTTGTCTGAGTCGAACCGCTGTAGGGAAGAGTCCTTTACTCAAAGGATTATCTAAGCCTCGTTACATGTGATGGTATTTAGGTAATGGATAATTGGCATTACGAAGATGCCTTCGGTAGCTGAGGATTACGTGTGGGCTGGAGGTTTACCTAGGATAAGCCTAGGATGAGTTTAGTGCTGGGAGTAGTAGTAGTAGTAGTAGAAAAGGGACCTCGTGGAGTTGAAGTAGTTCTTGAGGAAAGTATGGATAGATGTGGAAGGTAGTATAGGCTCGTATTACTGAAAGTAGAGGAACCGTACTCGATTCAAGAAGGGTCGAGATCAGACCGGGTGTCACACCCCGACCATCGGCGGAAACACTGGGTAGTGTAAGGTCATTTCTCGTATCATAGTTATCAACTTCCTGAAAACACATGCAATTTAAATTACGTTAACATAAAGTGGGTGAGTTCACAGGTTTTGACTACATAAAATAATACATTTTCCAAGTTCAAAAGCATAGTTTTGAAAGTATCATTTTGACTCTCCAACGTTTAGTATATATATCCTAGGTATAAAATTTTACTTACCAAATAAGTATATACCTATAAGTCTTATATATTAAAAATATAAATGTTTGTAGTTCCATACAAACTAAGTTGCTACGTATAAATCTTATTTCAATTCTATACGAGTAAAACCGATACATATAAATCTATTTCAATTCTATACGAGTAAGTAGGATAGGTATAGTGGTCTACTTAATATACAAGTAATATACCTACTAGATTATTATACTTAGAGTATAAGTCTTTGGGAAACTTATACTTAATATTCATACTTGTATGGCGACGAAGTATAATGCATCTAAAGTTGTTCTACCATGAGTCTGTAGTTGCGATAGTATGACGTAGTTTTATACCTCTTATTATTATTACAAGGATCACACATTGCGGTAGTACAACGATTACACCTTGTGGTAGTACAAGGATTACACCTTTCGGTAGTTTCCGCACATTTCATCGACGCTGGAACAATAACAAATAAAAGGATAGTTCATCACTCGATTTTGGTTGAATGTAGCTAACAGTCACATGTGGGGTGGTCAACCCGTATACTATTTATACACAACTTCCTCGCTCACACGATAACGAATACCGGTCAAAGGACTTTCACTAACATTGCCAATCTTAGATGATGAATACAGTAGCTCAGGTAGACTTTAACGACATTCTATAGTTCTAACAACAAAAGCATTTTCGTGTCTAAAACCCTAAGTTACTAGACTATGCTTTTAAACATTATTCCTAATTTCATAACATTTAGGCAGTATAACAGCTATAACTTGAAGTAAAACTAGGTTTTATCTTGACATAAAACCAACAATAATAACATATAACACGCCAGGTTTTATCGTGACATAAAACCAACAATAATAACATACTTAGAAATCAATATATATACATATATAATTCTCGAGTATAGAATCCAGGCTATATCACACATAGTATACATAGAACTCCTGAGTATAACTTAAGGTCTACATTAGTATAATAACAAGCTAACAAGTTTACGATAGTTGTATGTTTTAAAAATATCATATATACTTTAGGTATATATGAGGAAAAACAACTATATCACAGTTAGTATAACTATATATGTTGATACGAACATACTATCATATAAACATAATATTAACTTTTATTCAATATTTAGCATGCGTTTTCCCCCAAAAGTATTTGAAAGTGGGGTCGTGAAACTCACCTTATTAGCGTGATTATAGAATCTAAACGGTTAGAGACTTTTCGTAGTAAAGCTCAGGAAGGGAAAACGGCCTTCGGAAATGAGAGAGAATGAAAGAAGAAGGTGTAAGGATTGAATGAGCTTTGATCGCTATTTATAGGGTGTTTTGGGGCCATTCACGTTGTGACCATGATAGGGTCACATCGTGAACTTCCATGAGTCATCCCATACGCGTGTTTTCTAGCTCCGATTAGTGTCTGTTGACTCCTCACGTCGTGAATTTTTGATGCTCACGTCATGAGTCAAATTAGGGTTCTGACAGCTGCATCTTCGAAAGGCCATAACTTTTGCATACGAACTCCTTTTTTGACATTATTTATATCCACACGTAGGAATTTAAGAGCACTACAACTCTCTTTTATACACAAATATCTAAATCTAAGCTTATTTTAAATTCCTTATGTTATAGATATTTTATAGTGTTCGGTTTATCATAACTTCGTCATGCAAAGTCAGATTTAGATGTTCTCTATATTTTTGGAATCGTATGGACATATACTTTGATTTATACCATAAAGTATGTATGAAAGTTCATATTTATATTAGAATTATCATGAAATACATACTGAGTTTACTACATTACTAGTTTTACAAAATCACATTACATGATTGGTATAATCACATGTGATTGTTATTGACCTATTTTGACTAGTGTTACATTCTCTCCCCGTTGATAAAATTTCATCCCGAAATTTATTTTTTACTAGATACCACCGAAGGGTGCTAGATAGATTTCCTGCTTCCTATTACAATTGACATACAACAGCCTAACTTCCTTGACTCCTTAACTTTGGACATTCCTTTTTGATATGTCTAATTTCACCACACTCAAAACATACTCTTCCTCCATCATAGCCTTTTCCAATGTTTGTTCCTTGATTTTCTGTTATAGGTGTTGTAGTCCTACAGTAATTGGCAGTGTGTCCCTTCTTTTTGCACTTCATGCAAATATAATAGTCACCTGCATGCTGATGGTTACATTGACTGAACCATGAACAATTACCTAGGTGATGATGATTACACTGAGTGCACCATGGGAGTTTTCTAGCATACTTCCTTGGTTGCATGGGTATTGTTGTTGTGGCTGCATAATTAGTTGCCACATCTTGTCTTTCCTCAGATGATTGTATGCGATTCTTCCCATTAAATTTGCACTTGTTCGTTCTACATTCGGGAGACTCAGCTATAGATCCTACTTGGATTTCTGTGCTGGTTAGCTGATCAGTTATACGCTTTGCACTTTCATATGTTGTAGGCTTCGATGCGATAACCATTCCTTTGATTTGCGTTGCTAGACCCCAGATATATCGCTCAATCTTCTTGTATTATGGGGTTCCAAGTGCTGGACACATCACCGCAAGATCATTGAATCTAGCGGTATAAGCATTTATCTCTAAACCCTTCATGGTCAGGGTCCACAATTCTTGTTCCAGCTTATGTATTTCCTCCATGGGACAATACTCCTCGACTAGCATCCTCTTCAGCCCATCCCATTGCATGGAATTGGCGGCATCAATACCCGTTGTATTCACATGGCTGTTCCACCATGTAAGTGTTGCATCAACGAAGGTACACGCAGCAAATCGTACCTTACATTCATCAGGAAAGAAGCTTATTTGAAATACTGATTCTGTCTTTTCAATCTACCGGGTTAAGCTAATGACCCCTTCCGTTCCATGGAAGCTCTTAGGTTTGCAATTCATAAAATCCTTGTAGGTACACATTCTGGCGGTCCTTACACTGCCTTCATTTCTAACTCCTCCTGTTATGACATTAGCAAGAGCTACAACAATTCTCTGAGCTATAATTTCTTCAAGTTCTACTAAACTTATTGGAGGGTTTGTTTCTGGTGGTGGTGGTTGCGGTTGTTGTTGTTTTGGTTCTGGTCGTTGGTTCAGGTTTAGACGCGCGCTACTTCTTCTAGGCATTTTGTTTAGTTCCTATACATTTTAGATCACCAAGTGTTTAGTCTATCAAATAGTACTCCCAATTTAAATAGTTCATATGATCTGCTCATAATAAAATATAGTTTTACACCTACACCTAGTTGTGATAAGATCTATGCACATATAAACTTTAGTTGGAATATCTGATCTAAATCCTTGAGATTAAAAACATTCCGGGTATTTAGGTGTATTATCATC